GGAGGCCCGCGTGGAGCCTGCAGGGCTGCGGGACACGCGGCACCGGGTCCTTCCGTGTGAAACCACAGTGCGTTTTTAGTGGGCTGTCCTTGATGATAGAGGCAGCATTTTATGAACATGCTTGGATGCAGTTGGAGGTTGGGCAGAGGTTTTGTTTCCAGCATTTCAAATGAAGAAGCGTTTCGGTTTGCCCCTGGTGTGAGTAACCTTTCTTAAAAAGGGCATGGAGGCAAAACTGAGAGAAACAACATCAAACTGATCTGTGACTTGTGCGCTCTGGAATAACTCAGAATGGAGTATCATGGTACACTGTCCAGTACAGGTTATTTCAGACGAGTTCTCCCTAACCTTCCAGTACCTCTGTCTGTCATGCATACGGCCAAAGTGCCTTTTCCTGTTGCCTCTGTGCAGCTGGACATGTCTGAGAGCCTATGTATTAACAGAAAATAAACCACAAAGAGGACTAATCTGTTTTATATTTATTGGGTGTAAATGTATGTGCATTCTGTCTCACTTTACGGTCTGCAGAGGAGTCGTATGTGCCGCACATCAAAACATTCCCCACTGTGTTGTACGTTATTCCAGAGTGTGGCTGTAAAGGTCTGTGTCAAAACGGGGACTGTGGAAGGGGGTGCTCAGGGCAGCTCTCCACAAGTTTCATTTTCTGAATTATTCTGCTGCTGGTGGACATAGGAGTGAAGCTAAGTAAGGGAGGGAAAATTACATTGTTGTGAGGAGTTAAAGCGTTAGTGACAAGGGAGCAGGAAAATCCATGTTGAGGGGCCTGTAATCACACTGTCTGCTTGTGTTCCTGACTGCATGGTTGCTGCTTCTTCACAGCATACCCAAAAGAGATCCCTGTGTTTAAGAATGAGGGGTGTTTGGGGCTAATAATGCAGTCACTAGCAAACAAAGTCATTTTATAATAGATGATCTCTGTTGAAGCATCTTCACAGGATGATGTATGTTCTGGGAAAGGCCATATTTAATATTTTTCATTATGATCCTTGGCACAAAAAGTAGGAATATGCTAATAGTGCAGACCTAAGAATCTTCATCAGTATAGGACAGCACATAAGAGAAACTGGATGACCTTGGGAACAGTTACAGAAATGTGAAGAAACTTAAAAATGCAAAAAAATATGTTATTGCCTTAGAGTATGGTATTATTATAGTATGGTGTGTAGGGCAAAAATGCTAAACAATGTTCCATACAGCTGTGACAGAGTTTAGACTCCCGTGATTAGGAGAGAAGTTTGCAGGATTATTTTTTTTTCCCCCATGGCTTGAAATTGCAGTGGCTAAGAACTCTGTCATGGTGCATGCCCAGCCACCCTGGGAGCCCTGCCCATTCAGGTGCTCGTCCTCTGTCTGCTTAAGATTGCAGACTGGGGTGAAGTTCAAGTAAGGTGAAGAAAAAAATTCAATTATGACACAAGGGATCAGGTGTAACAATCTGGGAAGTTCCTTTTTCTCCCAAACTGCCATTTTCTGTTTTCCCCCATTACTCTGCCCACCCACCTGCACAGTCCTGTCTGCTGCAGGCACTGCAGGCCCAGGGCAGCAGAGAGCAGCTCTGCATCTGTGGGCTTCCAGTTTATCCACTGTTAAGTCCTATGTACCCAGCAGTTTGGATTTTCTTTGACATTTCAGGGTGAAGTCTCCCTCCAGGTCTGCACGTAGCTGAAGGCAGCCTGGCCCCATGCAGGTCAGGACTGCCAGGGCTGGCTCTGTGCCGTGGACTGAACAGGGAGGCAACATGCAGGGAGAGAATCCCAGGCCCCAGAGGAGTCTCTGGCCTTCCCAGCTCCCTCTGCCTCTCTGACACAATCTGGCATTTTTATGCTCACGAGGACATTTGCTGAGAACTGCATCCATCGGCAGAACAACCACAACGAAGACCAAAATGCACAGTATAGAAATGTTGCTAATCAGGGGTCCTTGCATGTCGCAGTGAGAAGGAATACATAGAGAAATATAAGTAACTGACCAGTAAAATTTATGGATACTGTGCTTTGCCATTAAAGGGGAACACATTTATAGAGGAAATAATTTTTTTATTTTTTTGTTGGCTGGCTGAGTAATCCTGTTTGTACATACAGAAATTTCTAATAAATATAGCAACTTTCCTTAACTGTGTGAGAAGTAATTATCAAAAGATATGGAAAGAAAAACAGGCAAAAATGTGCCCTCATTCAAGTGTTTATTCTTATGCAGCACTCGGTTTTTGTTGTTTTGTAATGTCTTTATTAAGAAAGCAGTAGTATGTATTTAATGAACAGCTGTGGTAGCCTGTATTGTTATACAATGCTTCCAGTTATATCCTTAAGTTGGAGTATTGTTTTACAAGGTTGTATAAATAAAACCAGCTGAGCATTCATTTATATAGACTTCGGTCTGTTCTAAGACTACATTATTGTTGTAAGGCTGGAAGGAATCTTTTCCTAGATCTTATACTATTCTTCTGCTTAACAGTAAATCATTACAGAGCCCCAGTGCCTAGAGCTAGTTATCCCCAGTGATGCTAAAGCCCGGAGTTTCTAGTTGGAAATTTAGTCGTCCTGTGTCCTTTGCAAATGGTATTTGGTCATTTATTGTAGTGCATTAAGAACCCCCCCCCCAGAACGCAGCCTGCCCTGTGCTGTGGAACTGAAGAAATGCCCCGTCATAGAAGTGTTGTGTTGCTGTTCTAGCCCGTTACGGCACCAGAAACCGCTCCTCACGACGGCCCGACCGCTGCAGCTGCGGGAGGTTCCTCTGACGGCCCCGGGCGCTCCGGGTCGGCCGCAGCTGGGCCGGGGGGGCCCGCGCGGCCCCTTCTGCCTGCGGGGCCCGCGGGAAGGCCCTGCTGGGGGGGAACGGGGCCCGCGGGAAGGCCCCGCTGGG